ATAAAACTGCTTTATCTCAGGACCCATCACATATTCAACTAAATAAACTTTACTATAAAGAAATTACTAATAAACGTACAACCAATATAATCGGAGAGATTGATTTAATTTTTTGGTTATTCTTTATTTTAGTTTAGATAACTTATAAGACAGAATTATTAAAATGCAGCTAGGTTAGGGTAGAAAACTAATTATCAACAAAAAATTTCATTTGCTGTACTTTGATGTAGACCGCAAGAGAGTGCCAAAAGTAAATTATCTAGTTTAATTTTTTTAACCAGTGTTTAGAGTATTTACAGTCAGTCTGATAACCTCTCCTTCAGTGGATTTTACATGTGTTTCAAATAAACAAACCGATATATTAAATTGGCATTTGTTGTCACTGGTCCAGACTGAATTACCGACATCAGATTGTACTACATGTTCTTGAGTGAAGATGATAAAATTCAAGGCAAAAAATTGTTGAAACAAAACAACTAGCTGTCTTTAAAATAATTTTCTTGGATCAAGATTATCTCTTTAAAATACAAGAAAATTTCTTAATTATCTTGACAAAGTACAATAAAAATAAGCTTTTTGCAGGACCAGTGCAATTTAATTATTAGACCAAGTTCATATACTTTATATATATTGTTTTAAGCCATAAAGATCCTTGTTCTACACAGGACTCATGTGTTATGTAAATAAACAATAAGATATTTTTTTAAACAGTGTTTGGAGTATTTACAGTCAGTCTGATAACCTCCTTCAGTGGATTTTACATTTGTTTCAAATAAACAAACCGATATATTCAATTGGCATTTGTTGTCATTCGTCCATACTGAATTACCGACATGTGACTATATTATATGTTCTTAAAGATTTTTTAACATTTATAATCACACTATAAATACTTTGGGTCCTTTTAAATGAATTTAAAAAATTATAGCGCTATTACAGGATCAATTACAAAAAATTCAATGGACAAATTTGACCAAACAAATTTGTAGAACCAACAAACCATTAAAAACCTGACATAAAAAATTAACTACTAAAAAATATAGAAAACCAAAAGGCACTAATTCTTCTCCCGACTTTTCTAATGAAACCAAATTAAACTATAAAAATTTCTTTTTAAAATAACAATATGCTCGTCACAAAATTTTGAGCTACGCTCTTTTAGTAACGCGAATTCGTTTTATTAATTAGTATTGCTTTCTACATTTAGTGTCATAAAAAGTACGCAACTAAAAAATTATTTCGTTTAATTTAAGATTAAAAAAAAAATAATTTTGATCTATTTCCGATTCACATCTAAAGTTATGATATCTAATTGTGCTGACATACATTTTTAACATGTATGTATATACAAAAAAAAATTGACAGGTTTTTTTTTGTGCGCATATGTGGTGAATACTATGATTCTTATAATTTTCACGTCTGTATCTATTTTCTACCCATCTAATTATTTACCAAGCAAATATTTGACTATATTAATAACGAAAAAGAAGCACTTAAGCAAATGTTGAATATAAATAACCACGAATGACCAAAATATTAGTTTAGTCGCGACAATAACAATTTTAAATGAATATTCATTTAAATAAGGCGTTTCTTATAATAGTTAAATAGGTGAACATTAATTTCTATAATTTAAACCAATATTGAATATAATGCAGTAAGGTATGGATCATATTTGAGATGTCTGGTAGTCGAAAAAAATTTTATCGCGCTGTCTCAAAGCAATCGGTCGATTACAGGTTCAATGTCAAGTGCAAATTCTGATATATTAATTCTTAATATCACTCATGACACTCGGATGTAGATAATTTTTGTCATTGTTGATTGATTTATTTTGTTGCAACTATAATTAATTTATTTTTTGAATAATTCATAATGATAATTAATTTATAAACAGATTTAAAACAAAAGATTTAAGAACACTGTTTTAATTAATTAATTTTAAATTACAGTATTTTAATATTTTATTATTAATCTAACTGTTTTATCAGTTTAATGAAATATCAAATTTTTTTTAAATATAGCAGTCTTGTGACAATAATAAAAAAAGTCTTGCTGCACTTTAATTGTCTTGTAGAAGATAAAAAAGTTCTTATTATTATTTAAGAAAAAGAGAGACTAAATAAGATGTTTTGAAAATTTTTTTTCGATGGATTTCTGTAAAATTTTATTTTTTAGCTCAAGAAAAAAAATTTTTCTGGATTTGGAAAAAATTTTAGATGAAAATTAAATTAATTATTTTGAAAAGAAAAATTTTTTTTCATCCACTTGCTGATAAAAAAGACAAAATTCTCGATCAATAAGTGGACTGTTATTTTTTAATAATAAATAATTAATTATTTGACATGTCAAAATTATGATCGCGGAGAAAAAAAAAAGAAAAATTAAATAAAAATATAAAAAATCTTTATTAAATTTTTCTGAGCTTGTTTAAAACTTCATATAAATTATTCTAAGCTCAATTATGTAATTTTAACAAAAATAGTATTCTATATTTAGCTAATTAATGAATTTAATAAATATTAATCAATCAAATAAATAATTTGACTTGTCCAAATTAAAGTTTAATATTGTAATTTTGACAGATTTTGTAAGACTGACATTGTACAATGTAAATATTATATTAAAAGCTGTGAAAATTAACATTCAAAGTTTGAATTTAAAAAATGTTATTATTTTAAACTACAATATTTTTAGTTTTAAATTAAAAGCGATACTTATTATTATTTATAATATGATTTGTCTCCATTATTGATATTCTTTGAACTTTGAAAGACTAGGTCATTTTTTAATTATCTATTTTTGAAATTATACTAAACATTCCTTAGTAAAAACTGCGCGGTTTTTTAAATAATTTTTTATTTTTATTTTTAATAAAAACTCAATACTTTTGTGTTTAGTTATAAAATTTAACAGATAGTATGTGTCATAAAAATTTAACGCTCAAAAGTATTTTCGATCATTGCCTCCAATCAAGTTTAGTGTCATTAGCACTTTTTAATCCATATTATATCGGTCTAAAGCAAAAATATAATCAATTACAAATATAATAGATAGATTATTGCGTTTTTAAAGTTTTAAAAAAAATAAAATTATTGTCAAGTAATAACAATGAAATTTTACCTAATAATTTACTTATTTGCATTCGTAATTGTTATTAGAGGAGAATTTATACAAAATTCATGTTTTTATGACAGTAGTCTTGTGAGTATTATAATAATTATTAAAATACTAGTTTTTGTAAGAATAAAGATAATTTTAAGCTCTCTTTTAGTGTTCATCAAACAAAGACTGCTGTTTTAAATTGAGTTGTGTTTACTACAAGACTTTTTTTTTTCATTCATAAACTTTGTGTACCTATAATAGAATATAATGTTAATGACAATTCTAAGAATGTGTTGAAAATTAAAAAAAAAACATCGCCAATGTGTTGCTAATAAAAATAAAGTAAATAAATCATGCAACGTATTCACTAAAAAAAAAAAAATTATTTTGAAAAAAAAAAAGAAATGTAAAAAAAATTTTATTTTTCAACTGAAGAAATTACAATTTTTTCTACAGGGACTTTTTTGTAGAAAAAAAGTTTTTTTGATTAGGAAAAAAATAATTTTAAATAGACAATTTGCGAATTATTTTTTTCCAAATCAAAAAAATTTTTAAAAAAACAAAATGAGAAAAATTAAATTTTTTTAACTAAACAATGAAACTGTTTAAAAATTTTAAACAAATTTTCTTGTCATAACAATGTCTATTTTTTTTTAAAACACATTTTTTCTCTCGGTGTACTTATAATAGATATTAATACATAGTTTAATCAAAAATAAATTAAATTTTCAGTGTAAAAAAAATCGTGAGTGTTACTCTCGCACTTGTTATCGAGATATTAGCTCTCCTTTCTCAGAATGTACCGAGCATTTCTGAGCAATCAAATTTTTTATTATTTTTTGTTAAGATTGTTTCAAATATGCTATAATATATGTACTATTTATTATTAATTTATTTATATTTACCTCTAAAAAAAATTGTAAGAAATATTTTGAAATAAAATATTTTCAAAAAGAAATTAAAATAACGATATGTTAATAGGATTGCTTTTTATCTCACTATCACCTTCAATCAAATGAAAGTAGAAGCCGTACTCTCACTCTTATTTTAATTTTTCACTTCTGAGCTCTTAGAAAGTTATCGCAATAACTACACAATACATAAGTAGGTTAGATTTTCATACCTCTGTACATACTTAAACTTTTCTATGCCTTAATAATTTAAAAATTCAGCATATAAATATTGTCATTATTATTATATTATATTATATTATATTAATATTTATATTATAGTTATTATAAAAATTTCACCAGTGATAAATTTTCGCCGAAAATAATAATAATTAAAATTTATTAAAAATTTAAAAAGATTTCTAAGCTTAGCAATAACGAAAAGCTTATTATCTGGCGTCGACCTTGATCATCTCTCCCCTCTCATGATTTCTCCTTCTCTCAACTTGCTCTTTCTTTATTCTAACTCATGCGTGCTATAACACGTTTAATCCCTAACCTAATACAACCTGAGATCTTACAGCGTTGACCCAGACTGCAACGAGCCAATATCTAGACCGGTTTCAATGATTCAAGTTCATCTAGATCTAAATGTACAAGCCGCATAAATCCTCTTTATAATAACCGGCTTGCAATCGTCGATTAATGTGGGAGTTCTTTTCTTTTTTTTTTTTTTTTGATAATTACAATTATTATTTTTCCAAATAATAATCTTTATTTAAAGATTTAATTTTACGTTAAAAAATCAATCTTACCAAGGTCAGGGTGCTCTTCGTAATTTTTAATAATTAATCCTTCAATTTTAATTAATAAATAATAAATTTTTTAATTTTCAATTAGGACTTTATGACAGACATATTTTTTTTACAATTATTTCATATTACAGCGAAAATATTGGTCTTAAAAAAAATTTAAAAAAAAAATTGTTAAAAATTTTGTAGAAAAATGTTTCTTGTAATTAAAAAAAAAGAAATAATATTTTCGCTGTAATTCAAAAATTAAAATTAATAATTAAAGATACTAATTTTTTTGATAATTATGATTAAAGATTTTACTTTTAAAATTACAGCGAAAATAATAGATTTTTTTTTTTTAATTATAAAAGAGTTTTTTTATAAAATTAAATTTTAAACTTTTGTTGAAAAATAATTTTTATAGGACCAATATTTTCGCCGTAATATAAAAATTATGAATTGTTATTTTGAAATTCTAACGAAAGTTTTAGCGCTATTATTAATTATAAATCAATAATAAAATATTAGCAAAGCTACAAAAAATTTTCTTTTTAATCACTAAATTTTCTATAATCGCCCGAGTCGAAAAATTTAAACTGATTTTAAGCTAAATGATCTGCATTTGAACTTATTGATCTGTATTTGAACTTTAAAAAACATTTTTATCGGTATTTCATCTACTATTAAAATTATTTTTGATCTGTTTTAAGTCTAAATAACCTTTTAGTAAAATAATTGAGCAACTATGAATATTTTATGCTGTTTCTAATCTAATGAAACTAAAAAGTTTTAAAAGTTTGATCGGTTTTTAGTCTAATTAATTTGTAGATGGACTTTATTATCACTGAAAAATGTATCGAATCGTAAAAAAGACACAAATTCTAATCAAGACTTTTCTGGTGATACCAAATTTAACTATAAAAATTTTTTTCTAAATAATAATATGCGCGTCACAAAATTTTCCTTAATCTCTTAATTAAAGAAATTAATTTTTTACCAATAATCTCGTTCACGTGTACAAAATAAAATAAATAAATAAACGAATGACGTTTATCGCATAATTTGAATCTATTTAGAATAACTTCGAAAAGTTATCATAATAAATTAGCTATTGCTGAAAATCATATGAAACATTAAAAAAGCTTAAATTCAGGTCATGACCTTTTCAATAATACTAAATTCAATTGAAAAATTTCATTTTATCATATAAATACGCAGGAGACAAAATATTCTCTTAATTATCTAGATTATAGTTATTATTAATAGCTATTGTTCATTTGAAAAAAATAATTTTAATGGACTATTTTGAGAATTTTGAGTTTATAATTTTTGGGAAAAAGAATTTCGTAACGAGCATCATGAATTTTTCACGATTTTCAATTTTAAATTTAAATTTTCTAAAATCATTATTTCTCTTGCATTATGAAATTAATAAAATCTTGTGGAGTTTTAAAAATTAGAATTCTATGAAAAATTTTATGATTTTGTAAAATTTTATTCTGGGAATTGTCTAGTAAAATTTGATAAAAATTTAATTAAAAAAAAAAAATCATTTATCGCAAAATTTGAATCTACTCACAACTACTTCGAAAAATTACAATTGATTATATATCTATTGCTGAAAACCATATGAAACATTGAAAAGGCTAAAGTTCAGGTCAAGACCTTTCCTGAAATTTATGAAAATAATTGTAAACTCCAACGCTCATTAAATTCAGCAATACGCTTCATCTTCAACTTAAAGCGAGATGAACATGTCTCGCCTTATAGACGTGAACTGGGATGGCTCTCGATAAAGAGTCGTCGAATTTATTTTACTTGCTGTTATTTTTACAAATTATTAGAAACTAGTAAACCTAGCTATTTGCGTGAATTATTTCAGGAAGATCTCAGTGTAAGACGCTCTGAGAGACTAGCAGCCAAGAAAAATAATATCCTCTTTAAGTTCCCAAATTTCAGTACCACTCAATATGAGTCTTCTTTTGTAATAACAGTTATACGATTATGGGAAGAATTACCGGAGGATATTATAAATTCTTCAAGCTTGGAGGTTTTCAAAAACAAAATTTTTGATTATTTATTTAATCTAGATGTTTGATTACAAACTACTATTAATGTTTCTATCTTTTGTTTCATTAATCCTCAAGCTTTAGTAAATCTTCATTATATAGTTTCTTTATAATTTAAAGTTTCATACCTGTATTTATAGTAACATAAATGATTATTAAAATTTGTTAGTTAATTCATTATAAATTAAAATTTTTTATACTTATATAGTATTATATGTCACTATCATTTATCTAAAAATATTATTTTATAAAACATTCTAAATATTTATAAGTTAAACTGCACAATAATGTAAAAACTGTATGTATATGTACTCTTTGCCATTTGGCAATTGCCTTGGCATAATTTTTAAATAAACTAAACTAAACTAAACTAAACTAAATTTTATACTGTTTTTGATCTACAATTTTCATTCTAAATGTTCGAAGGCCAAAAGTCGCCTAAGATGGTGACTTATAATTTTTTTGGACTTAAAAGTATCTCATTATAAATTATAAGTCGCATTTATTTAAAAAAATGAATTAATTTATAATATATTCATGCGCTCTCTTGTTTTATGAACTGAGCGTCGATTATAACCTTACATCTGTCATATTTATTTATCATAGCTTAATATTTCATGGATTATAAAAGTTTTGTAACTGGGAATATTAGTTGCAGTGATAACTAATAAATTTGTATTAATATACGTTTATAAAATAGTTCTCATCGTTTAATTATGGATCTAAATCCATAGTTTTCTAATTATCGTTATTAAACACAATGTGAATACATCGAGATAAGATTAAAATGTTGACAAGATTAATGTTAAATTTTATATTTTCACGCATCATTTAATGAGCGGTATCCACTATTTGGTAGTGCGAAGAGTACCGTTTTGGTATACATTGCACTACGAAATAGTGAGTGGTCACTATTTCAGTTTCAGAGAATGAAAAGCCGTGCTCTGTAGAGGATCTTCGAGGACATGAATAAAATAATAATATATATTATTATTATTATTATTATTATCAAATTCGTAAAAGGTCGGTTTTTGATCTACAGGCGATGAAAACCCGACTAAAAATTATAGAACGTTTTGGTCTGTTTTTGACCTTGATGCGATCAAAACCAGCTAAATGATTTTGTGACGAAAAAAGTCTGATTTTGGTCTTGAAACAATAGAAAACAATTTTATTATAACATTAAAAATGATCTGAAATTGGTCTGAATTGTGAATAATACGGGCAAAAACAGATTAAATTCTCATATAAAATAGATACACATAATAAAATTAAATTGAATGAAAAATATTAAAAAATTTTATTAATCATAAAACAGACTAAGTTTTTTGACCCGGATCCAAAATTAAATAACTTAAATAGATTTTAATGAATTAAAAAAATAAAAAATTACTTGAATAAATTAAATCAATTTGTCTATAATATTAGGATTATTATAAAAAATGATAGATAGTTATTATCACTACGCAAAGATATGAGTATGGATGCAATTTTATCAGTATTATGATTGATATTTTAAATAAAAATGAAAAAAAGCCTTACTTAATTCTTCTGAGCTTGTTTAAATCCTCACATAATTATTTTAAGCTTAATAATGTCATTTTAACAAAATTATTCTTCTTCTATATTCAGCTCATTAATGATTTTAATAAATTTTAATCAATAAAATTAATAATAAATTAATTAAGAATTAAATATTAAGAAGAAATATTTTAACATCAATTTTTTTTCATGAACTTACTGGCAAAAAAAAACAAATTCTCGATCGTAAATAGACTGTATTATAAATTTTAATAATAAATAATCAAATAATTATTAGAAATGTCAAAATTATTTTCGCGGAGAAAAAAAAAGGAAAAATTAAATAAAAATTTTAAAAATCCTTATTAAATTCTTCTCAGTTTGTTTCAAACTTTACATAATTATTCTAAGCTTAATTATGTAATTTTAACAAAATCATTTTTCTATATTTAGCTCATTAATGATTTTAATAATTTTTAATCAATTAAATTAATATTAAATAATTTGAATCAATTAATATAATTAATAAGAAAAAATTTTAGATGAAAATTGAATAGATTTTTTAAGAAAAAAAATTTTAAGATCAAATTTTTAAGGCACTTACTGACAAAAAAGACAAAATTCTCTATCGTCAATGGAATTTAATTTTTTAATAAAAAATAAACAAATAATTAATTATTAGAAATGTCAAAATTACGTTCATGGAGAAAAAAAAAAGAAAAATTAAATAGAAATATAAAAAAACCTTATTAAATTTTTCTAAGCTTGTTTAAAACTTTGCATAATTATTTATAAGCTTAATTATTCAATTTTAATAAAATTAGTCTTCTATATTTAGCTTTATAATGATTTTGATAAATTTTAATCAATCAAATTAATAAAAAATTCAATATTGAGAAGAAAAATTTATAGATCAATTAATGGTTAAAAAAAGACAAAATTCTCGATCGTAAATGGACTGTGAATTCTTAACAATAAATAAATAAATAATTATTTAACACAAATGTAAATAATAAATTAAAAATTAAATAAAAACATAAAAAACTTTAATACATTCTTCTAAGCTTGTTCAAAACCTAACATAATTATTCTAAGCTCAATTATGTAATTTTAATAAAATTATTCTTCTATATTAAGCTTATTAATGATTTCAATGAATAATCAATCAAATGAATAATAAATCTCTTGAATAAATTAATTAAAAAATTAAATTTCACTGGATTCTTTGGCAAGGTCATACGCTAGACACATTTGTTCTCTCTTTTCTGTTCTGAAGATCGAGTAAGCTCTTACAATAAAGGATTTACAAGTTCTGGGGGCAACAGAGTTCCTCTATGCTGAGTCTATATAATACCATTCATCCATACACCATGCATATATATGTATTATGGGGTTTTTGAGGGAATAAGAGTGAGAAAGATAAGCCTTGACCTCGACTGGTTGACCTACAACGCCCGCTTTGAAATGGACTGTCTAGTTGGCATGGCCCTCAAACCAAATTCTAAAGATTTAATGCAATTAGGAATTAATCATTGCAGATGCAGTTGCAGCATCGCATGATGAGCGGATCAGATACTCGGTCGGTAGGTACGGCATTGCATTGCATTAGATACAGATATAGATAGAGAATGGCGTAGTGAGTGCGTCGAAGCGGGTCGCGATGTAGAGGCTGATCGATAAAAGTCCCAGTCGAGTTCACGAGCCTCGTTCAAGGACAAGGCCATGTGATAGCGGGCGCGCACTTGCTACTGCGCATTTTACCACCCTTGGCTTTGCTGGCACAACAGTGGGACGTTCTTTGTCAGGGACGAAACTCTTCGTCGAGTTACCCCACTCTCGGGTTCATTCTGTTTCAATATCACTGACAATGACACTGAATAGTTTTTATATACTTTTTTTTTATTTTTATTTTAAAGTAATAATTATTTAATGGTTCAATTTAATTTGTTATTATTAGTATTATTATTATTATTATAATAATAATTGTTGTTATTTTACTATTATTGTTAGTTATTATTATTATCATTTAATTTTAAGGAAAAACTATTTTTTAAATTATGAAATTTTCTTTCATTAAAAAAAATATTTTATTACTTAAATTTTTTAGCAAATATTAATTAGCAAAAAAATTATTATTAATTAAGAAAAAAATTTTAAAGATGAAAATTTATGTTATCAAAGTTATCTGTCACTTGATAATTTTTTAAAAATTTTATTTAACAATAAAATTTGTTCAAAATAATTAATTTCAAAAAATTGCATTTTGAATTTATTTAAAAATTCTAAATGTCAATTTTTTTTTGTTGTAATTTATTTATTAGAAAAATTAATAAATAACTGCTAAATTACTTTTCTTAAAAATTTTATTGGTTCATGTTTGGTTGATTTTTTTTTTAAATGTTTTTAATATATTTAATTTAATTAAAATTATTCATGTAATAAAAAATCATACATTCTCTATAAGGCATTTTTAATGTTTTAATTCATCAATTTAATTTAAAGGGTAATAATAAATTGATGAAAAAAACAAAATTTTAATTTTATACTTGTGAAATGTTTTTTAAATAATTTGTTTATTAATTAAAATTATTAAAATTGTTCTATTGTTAGTTTTGGTATTACAACGACAATACTAAAGTTAGCCGGCGTTTTTTTTTTTTTATTATTTTTTAATTATTTAATTACAATTAAAAAATAGTTTTTAAAATTTTTATTTAAAGTTTTTTAAACATTCGACAATTTTTTATTTTATTTAAAAAATTAATTAACGAAAAAAAAACTTTTCTATCACTTACAATTTTCTAATTAAAAAAAAAATCTATTTTTAATAAAAAACATAAAAATTTTGTTGAATAAAAATCAGCAAAAATTTGATAATTTTTTATTTTATTTAAAAAATTAATTAATGAAAAAACATTTTTTTTATCTTAGAATTTTCCAAATTTTATTACTAAATTTTCATATTAAAATTAAAAAATCATTAAATTACTTTTAAAAAATTCCTCAACTCTAATTAATAAAATTTACTGAAAAAATGTTCTCTTAAAAACGAAAACAGCCGACTAAAATTTCCCCAAAAAAACTAAAAAAAAATCCTTCAACACTCAAACAACAACCCGAAATTAATTTAAAGCCAATCCAGCGTCTATCTTCCCGCCGGTGGTATGCGCACGCGTGTCAACTTTTCGTTTTCAAGGGGGATAAACCCTGATATAGCGATAAGTAACTTTTGAGCATTAAGTCAGAGTACAAGTTGAGTTTGCAGGGCGGCTTTGACCGAAGCGTGTGCTCGAGTGATTACACCGTGCGTATTTTACAATTTCCCGAATTTTACAAAATTAAAAAAATTTTTTTAAATATATAAAAAACACCCCCAATAAATTCTACAAATAAACACTAAAAAAAAAGTGGACATGTGGTGTAATATGGACATGACACTAAAAAAAGAGAGCTTACATGCACCGGTGAATTTGCAGCACACTTTAACCGGACACACTCTCACTTTCGTCTGCACCGAGGAAGGTTGTATGTTTTCCCGTGCAGCATTCCCCTTATAGCAGTGACAGTACCCAGTACACACGACAGTAGAGTACTTGACAGTGACTACGACCCCCACGGTCATAAAAGCGCATTTTTAAATTGTCCAGCTGTTTTATATTAAATTTTACAAATTACTCCAAAAATATTTTATAAAAAACTTGAATAATTAATTAATTAATTTAAAGGACCTAAAAAAAAAAAATAAATAAAAAATAGGAAGAAGAAAAGGGCAAGAAGTAAAGAGAGTGAAGGGCAGCAACATCCTCTTGTTCCTTTTTTCTCTCATCATTCTTGTGTCTCGGAGTGGGGATAGAAACAAGGCTACGCCATTGAGCCGCGTGTACCTCGTTTCATTTCAAAAGTGTCTCTGTCACTGATACAAACGGAGCTTGCATCGTGTTTTTTATTACAAATTTATTAATTATTTATAAATTATTATTTTATATTTAAGTGTAGTGTTTAATAATTAATATTATTAATTATTAAATTATATTGTTAACAACTTTGGATATGGTGATTATTAAAATTATTAAAATAAAGTTAGTCGATATTTAAAAAAATTTTTTTATTAAAAAATTTTTAAAACTTTAAGTGCAATTTTTTAAAAATATTTTTTTTTATTTAATAAATTAATTAATTAATTAGTTACTAAAAAAAAGTCGGCTAATTTTAATAAAATTTTTATGAGTGAAAAAAAGTGTCTATATTTTTTATTATTGTAAAATTAAAAAAAAAAAATAAATTGCAGACTTAAAAAAATAAGTTGAGGTAAGGACGAAAAATAAAAAAAGGGTTTGTGGGAATTAGGATTGTTAGAGGGTGTAAAATAAACGGAGTGACAATTAATTGAACCCGCGACTTTGCGGGTAAATAACATACAAAGTGGCTCACACGAGAGATACAAGCGAGTTGCAGGCGGAAGTGAGGAGTACTATAAGGGTACTCAATGGATGGTGTCCACGAGGAAATGGTGGACAATCTGCTCGAGATGAGACTGTTTTAATGTCGCCCTCGAGCCCCAATCGCGGATCCAACCAGATCCACGGTACGCAATTAGGACACAGAAGTGTTAGTGGTACTACTATTAATCCGCCAACAAGTGTTGTAGTAAGCTCGACCTCCAGCAGCATGCGGCCTCCACCCCCTCCCCCACCTCCAAGGGCAAGGCCCTCCGCTGAGGGCAAAGGTCATCATGAGGAACCCACCAGCTCCATTCCTGATCTTGGTGAGATTTTTTGGAGAATTTAATTATTTTTAAATTAGCAGATTAATGATACTTTCACTGATAAAAGGAGTTATTAACTATATTTATAATTTGATTTGTTTAAAGACAATTAATTAATTTATTGAATTTTAATAAATATTTTTTAACATTCAATAAATATTTATTTGGGAGGAAAGAACTTTTATTAATAGTTAACAAATATTTATTAACATTTAATAAATCGTATTTAATAATTTATTAACTGTTAATAAATATTTATTAAATCCTATGATGTTAAAAAATCATTTATTAACAGTTAATAAAGATTATTAAATGGAAAAAATCCTTCTGTCAGTGTTTTTTTTATAAAAAATATTTTTGTACTAAATTGAGGTAATATTAAAGTTAGGTGATTCAAGTTAGCATTCACTTGACAATTTTTTAAATTTATTTAACAAAAAAGTGTAATTTTTTAAAAATATTTAATTAGTTATAATTAAATAATTAAAAAAAAAAAAAATCGACTAACTTAAGTATTATAATTTTTTACTATGTATGTGCGATAACTTGAGCCGTTAAATGGCTACCCAACATGCGAATTTGACAAGTGATACTCTTACTCACTTTCTGATAACTTTCTCGATTGATGGATATTTCACATCTACAGACTAAGTTTTTTTATACCATCGATTCATCATTAGACCATTTAAACGTCGACCAGATCCTGTTTTTGTCTAATCTTACTTATTTATACGAGGATAAAGTGGGGAAGCAGACAGCTTATTTTTTAAATGAATTTTTTTTGCTATTAAAAATAGTTACTACAATTGCAACTAATGGAACAATTTGTATAATGTTGAATATATTCTATTATTATTGTTTACGTGTCATATGTTTACATTGTATTGATGTTATTTTAAAAGATTTTAGGTGACTCGATTAGATTAGATTCTTTGTCGCTTCTTAAGAATGTTCTAATCCCCTAACAAAGAAACAATCTATTTATAATTTTTGATTATAAGTCAACAGTGCAACTTTTAGAGCAGATAGTAAAATAACAAAATAATTATAAATGGTAAAAATAAAAAGAATGTATGTAATTTATGAGTTTATTCCGATAAAATTTATGCTGTTATTGACGATAAATTTAAAAAAAAATCGTTTTAATTATATTATTAAATTTTTGCGTTGTTCGTAACATTTATAATAAATATTTAATTCATAAATTATTAGTCATACTTCTAGAAAAATCTAATTCATTTACTTTATTTATTAATAGAATCGACAGCTCAAGACAATAATCCAATGTTATTATTCATTTTCATGATCCGAGAAATAAAAAAAAAATCATTACAAAATAAAGAGCCAATTGTCACCTAAAATAAAATTAATTTTCTTATAGTATTATTGCAAACTTGCAGAATTATAATAGATGCGTAAACAATAATAAATTTTATTAAAAAAATATATGAACTTGATCTAATAATTCAATTGCAGAAACTCTGCAAAAAGCTTACTTTTACAGTACCTTGTCAAAATAATTAAGAAATTTTCTTGTATTTTAAAGAGATAATCCGGATCTATGAAAATGATTTAGAAGACAGCTAGTTGTTTTATTTCAACAATTTTTTGCCTTGAATTCCGTCATCTTGACTTAAGAACATGTAGTACAGTCTAATGTCGGTAATCCAGTCTGGAGCAGTGACAACAAATGCCAATTTAATATATCGGTTTGTTTATTTGAAACACATGTAAAATCCACTGAAGGAGGTTATCAGACTGTAAATACTCCAAAAACTGTTTAAAAAAATTATCTTATTGTTTATTTACATAACACATGAGTCCTGTGTAGAACAAGGATTTTTGTGGCTTAAAACAATATATATAAAGTATATGAACTTGGTCTAATAATTAAATTGCACTGGCCCTGCAAAAAGCTTATTTTTATTGTACTTTGTCAAGATAATTAAGAAATTTTCTTGTATTTTAAAGAGATAATCTGGATCCAAGAAAATTATTTTAAAGACAGCTAGTTGTTTTGTTTCAACAATTTTTTGCCTTGAATTTTATCATCTTGACTTAAGAACATGTAGTACAGTCTAATGTCGGTAATTCAGTCTGGACCAGTGACAACAAATGCCAATTTAATATATCGGTTTGTTTATTTGAAACACATGTAAAATTCACTGAAGGAGGTTATCAGACTGACTGTAAATACTCTAAACACTGGTTAAAAAAATTAAACTAGATAATTTACATTTTGGCACTCTCTTGCGGTCTACATCAAAGTACAGCAAATGAAATTTTTTGTTGATAATTAGTTTTCTAGCCTAACCTAGCTGCATTTTAATAATTCTGTCTTATAAGTTATCTAAACTAAAATAAAGAATAACCAAAAAATTAAATCAATCTCTCTGATTATATTGGTTGTACGTTTATTAGTAATTTCTTTATAGTAAAGTTTATTTAGTTGAATATGTGAAGGGTCCTGAGATAAGGCAGTTTTATGCGCGAACACTACTTATTTATTTATCATTTAGTTATTTTTTTTCAATGATTAAATTTAAAAATAGAATCAATTTACGAAGGATTATTTACTCCTGCCAAGTTTAATGATTTTTTATTCAATAATTGGTGAAAAAGCGTCCCAGTATTTTATTCAAAATTTAAATAAATTCTGGAAATAAAATTAAAACAAATAGAGAAAATAAATTACTCAAGTTGCACTGAAGGTTGCCATTGAAATACTAAAGGAAGTTTAGATTAACAAACGGAGGGTTATATTAATCAGTATGTTCGATATTGCTCATGAGCAATCTCATTGAAGGTATGATGAAATAAAATAGCTAAATAATTTATTATTTATTATTCTGTTGTTTTCTCTTTTAATTTAAAATTTTAATAATAATTATTAAATTACAATAGATATATTATTAATGACTAAATATATAAATCTTATACCTTGACCGTTAACATTAAGCGCAACATTAAAAAAAAAAAAATATTACTGGATACAAGAGAGAGAGACAAAGTGACAGTAAAATAACAAAACCGAAGAATATGAGAGTGAATTTTATCAGTCTGTTGACTGTTGTTAACCAGATGCGTTTGACCGACTCTGCCGCTTTGAATTCTTGGTAAAATTCCGGAATAAAAAATGAAGAATTTTTAAGCCTTAAGGAGACTAAAAGGTCATCTTTTATTATATGATGTGATACAAGATACAAACCTTGAGAGATATAGATTAACGAATGTTTAGCCAACGTATGTTTTATTTTATTTGAGTCGAGAGGAAAAATTATTATTTATTTATTTTAAAAATATTTCTTTTCATTTATTTTAATAACAATTATTTCATATGTCACTCAGCATAACACGATAACGGTAATTAAAAATGATAACAAACATTTTTATTTATGTTAATAATCGTTTAAAAGATTTTTTATCAAAAAAAATTATTTATGACGGACTTTTTGAAACCGATGATCATGACCTCGGTCAATGATGAGACTCGTGTGAACTTGAGACTTCAGTCCTCGATATAATTATACTCAACCGTTTATATGCACTGTGTTTTATTTATATATATATATATATATATGCACGAGTTTTAATTCAATACCCATTGTTGGGATTTAATTCAATAATATTATTCATAATATTGTTTCATTTTTAAGGACGTTCATGCGCTATCTTACAGTCAAATTAGTACTGAATTTTTATGAAATTTATTGTGGGCTTGAGAAAAATTTTATATTTTTAAAATTCATTAAATAATAATTAATAATTTTTGTAAATTTAGAAGCAATAAATTTATTGTTGATAATTGATGAAAATTTAAAAAATTTTAATAAAGTTTGTTTAAATTTTTTAAATTAATTGAAATTACACTTTTAAAATTTTTCGTAAATTTAGCAACTTTTTAGAATACAAAGATATTTTAAAATTCATTATCTAATCTATGAAAAAAATTAATAATTTATGAAAGGTAATATTACATAGCTTTGTAAGTTGAAGATCTATTTATTAAGTTTACTAATTTTTGTATGCGTATATGATTAAAAAATTAGCTTATTATATATTTAACAATATAATTATTAAATTACAAGACAAAACGAGCTAAAATAATATTCCGGATTTTATTAAAAAAAAAAATCAAATTTTTGTAGATAATTAAACTTACAAAATAAACTATTAAATTAGGAAATTTTATTGTAATTTTATATCTTCAAAAATGTCAATAGTGCATAAGATACAAGGTCAATTCTTAATTATTGATATTTTTTAAGATATAAGCTCATCTTGATGTAACACTCATCAAGAGCTTTTATTTGAGTACCCACATGCATTTTTAATATATATTTCATATGTACATATATATAATATATATAAATATACAAAATATATGAAATGTTGATGTGGGTACTCAAATGAAAGGTCTCGATGAGTGTAATGTCAGGATGACCTTATATCTTTAAAAATGTCAATAGTTCACAAGATACAAGATCATTTCCTTAATTAATGATATTTTGAAAGATATAAGCTCATTCTGATGTTACTTTCATCAAGAGCTTACATTTGAGTACCCATATGCATTTTTGATATATTTTTCATATATACATATATATGATATACATAAATATATAAAATATATGAAATATTGATGTGGGTACTCAAATGAAAGGTCTTGATGAGTGTAACATTGGGATGAGCTTATATCTTTAAAAATGTCAGTAGTTCACGAGATACAAGGTTATTCCTTAATTATGTATCTAGAGATACACAGAAAAAAAAATTTCTTGATTGGAGAACAAAATTCTTGGCTCAAGAAAATTTTCGGGTGCCTGAAGGAAGACCAAAGTTGTGTTGGCCGAAGTAAAATTTTTCTTTAAATTCTTTCTTGGTGGAAGTCATTTTTTCTTAATTCAGATCATAAATACTTGATACAATAAATTTTTATATTAGATCAAGATTTTTAGATACTTTAGGGAAGCAGCGCCACCTACTTCAGCTGAGAAAAAAATTTTCTCACCTTGAGAAAATTTTTCTCGAGAATATTTGATACCCATTTTATATTATTTTAGCGTGCAATTATACATATTGAATGAAAAAAAAATGATAAGATACGTATTTC